GAGTCAAGTGTGGTAAAGCTAAGTGTCGTAGAGTCAAGTGTAGTAAAGTCAAGTGTACTTGACTCCACGTATTCTCTATGTATTTTCTCTGCGAGGCTCCGCACGGAAGAACCCTTCGCGATGCTTTCGGGAAAAATGTTTGAAAATCGTGATTCCCCCTGTGTGGCGGGAGAGAGAGACACGCGTGAATCGGGTTGTCATGCCTTGTCGTGGTGCTAGTATGTGCTGATGCTGATGATGCGTCTAGCTTTGCCGCTGCTGATGCCTTGTCGTGGTGAGGTTTTCATGCCTTGTCGTGGTGAGATTTTGATGCCTTATCGTGGTGAGGTTTTCAATGCGCTGTCATGGTGAATTTGTTCATCTGTCGTGGTGCCAATATTTCTTGTTATGGCGTGGAAACTTTTCTGTCGCGGTAACAACGCGCTTACCAAGGAGCTTGGCCATTGCAGGTATCGTGGCCTGAATTGCTTGTGCCATATTGTGCCACTGTGGGTGTGATTGCTTGCGCGACTTTCTGCGAGGCACTTGGATGGCCCTGTTGGCTTATTCTGTGCTCCTGGCACCTGGAAAGAGTCCAGACGAGCGGGTGGCAGATCAGGTCAGGGGGAACATGCTTTGGCACAGCTCAACTTCCTGCCAAACGGAAGTCTTCAACAGGCTCTCATCCAGCAGATTTTCACAACGCCCTTCGACGGCTCCGTGAACCCTCTCTTCTGCTGCATCTTCAACATGCTAGGCCTGCAAGGGCGGCATTGCAGCAATGCGACCGCTGGTCCTTCGCGATTTTCCGTTAGTGCAAGGCATTTGGCCGATGATCTACGCCGCCACTTTGCTGCCGGGAGCCGATCGTCAGTCGCCAGCGCCGGCACTGCCGCCGCTTAATTGCAGTCGGCGTGTGTGTGCGTGTGTGTGTGTGTGTCTCTGTGTGTGTATGGACGTGTATGATGTGTAGCTGTAGCTATGGGTGTGTTCTCACTCAGCCGTAACGCAACGCCGCCAGACAAGTACATCGGAGGAGTGTAGCTAAGCCGTAGCCCTAGCAGCATGCGGTGGCTGCATTGCCTTTTTCCGGACCAGGTTCGTGGCTGGATCTTTCTTCCTCGGTGCTTTTGCTCTCAGCCCTTACCTGGCGCTGCGAGAGAACAGGTCTGTGGCAGGCCAGCTGCAAGCCGCGACGGGGCAGTAGCACGGGTTGATGACCATGGAAAGGTTGGCATGGGGCCAACACGCGCACCCTTTTCCAATCATGGTCGCTTCAGAGCAGCGCGGTGCGGGCGAGACAGCACCAAATAATAGCAAGAGCCGCTTGAAGTCCGGACTCCTTCGCCGACAGAAGGCCAAGGCAGATCCGGTTCATATTCCGGTTCTAAAGTTCCTGGTGCGCGCGCAGGTCAATCAGGAGAGATTGACTGGGCCACGGCGAACATCCTCGAGAACCGCTTAACTGCTTTGGTCCTTCTTGCTTTCGCTGCCTATTTGGCGCTTTTTGCTGTGGGCGACTTGTTCGATGACAGTGTCCATTTGATTTCCTGCTTCCAGCCTTGGAGAACAATGGCCTGCACATGAAACCATGCCAGTCCGTCGCATTGAAAGGTCTGCTGGCATGATTTCTAGCCTGGCCACGATCCGCAATTGAGGAAACGGGGTGATCGGTGGCTTCTCGCCCGCTGAAGCCTTTTCTGGCTTCATGCCAGTCTTCGGCAGCCTCTCAGAAGCAGGCCATTAGAAGCGATTTGCACAGCGGTGCAAAGCCCAGAAGCTGCTGCGATGCCACGCAACGACGGCGCCCGAGAAGCCGTGCAAATGTGCCGAGGTAGTTTGACTGCCCACGTGTCAAGCCTTGACTTCATGGTACGGTCCTGAGACTGCTATTGCTGTCGCGTGGAATGTTCCGGAACGCATTCACTTCTGCAGGTGCTTTGGATGCTTTTCGGGCCGGTGCTGCTGGAAGATGGACGCCGGCGAGGTTACGTGAAATTACTGGCGCTGTCCTGTTAGGCAGTATGATTCAAGATGTCAAGCTATTTGAAAGCCTGTGATGTAGAATGCTGGTCCGCCATTTGTGCTATGCTGGAGGTCCTTCATCGTCCAATCTAGTCTGGCATATATTGCCGTCGTGGTATAGGATAGAGTCACACCAGGCAGATTTCATCATTTCAACCTGGTCTTCGAGCTTGTGTATTGATGTAGTTGCGTACCGTAGCACGTCGCAGCATTTTCTATGAGGCTGCATCAGTGTAGCATGCCTTAGACGCGGGAGAAATTGTTTTTATTTGGGACTTGTGAGTTGCAGTATGTTCGCGAATAATATCACCACATTATGGCCGAACACTGCATAATGCACGTAGTGCTACCTTGTCTTCGCAATAGTTTGTGCACATCGGTTGCATCTCTCGAGCGTTCAGAGAGCTGGCCCAGCCAGTGCGCCCGGCCATTTCAGCACTAGTCGTGCCTATAGGTTTGCTTGCAGGTCCTGGTCTTGGCCGGGAAGTATAAATTGCTTCAAACACTGCTAGTGCATCCCCACTGCGAGCGAGCGCAGCATGATGGTAGAACCGGACCTGGCCAGAATGTTTTGGCAGGCGTTTTCCTCGGCAGCCCTGATTCATGGAGTGCAGGGAACAAGGCCGGACCCACCCGCGAATGAAAGGAATCGACCTCTTCTGTCATTCTGGCATCGGCAGGCCCAGTTCGCAGTCTCAGCCTTGCTTCCGGTTTTCGGCTGCTTGGATGCAAGAGGGCCCCTTTCCCTGTCTCCTTCTCCAAGCATCAAAACTCTACTTCGTCAGGTGGCCTGGCCTGGCTGCTGAGTCGCCCGCCGCTGCCCAGCCAGCGGTCCTGAGGGAGCCTGGTTTTTCCGAGGGGCCTCTATAGGGCCCGGCGAATTTGCTTGCATCGATTGCAAAAAGCCTTCAGCGCTTCGTCGGTCTGCTTTGAGTGGAGGTCAACCCGATGCCGGCTGGGTGAAGTGTCGTGTCGGGGCGGAGGGTGTTGACCTGAAGCCGCTCTGTGGCGTTTTGCAGCCCGACTCTGGACTCCTCGACCGGCATGCCCTGGTTAGATTCTTAAATTTTGTGTTTGGTCTGCACTCGTGGATACACTGAGGAAGGAGCCTCCGCTACCTCCTCCCGCCCATCTGATGCGTGCCAGGCGCGGCAAGAGCTGCAGGTGAGTAGAGTGCACAAGCCATGGATGGTTCTTATGCCGATCCCTCTGCACCGCATACAGGCCGCCACAGCACCAGATGGACGAACAGCAGTTGCAAGAGCGGCAACTGCAACAGCAACGCCTCAGAGAGGAGCAACTGCAGCAGCAACATTTGCAGCCGAAGTGGTCACCATCCTCATCCTGGCACTGATCGACCGCTTTCTTTCCTTGATGAAGATCGTAACTAGGCAGCTATCAAAGACTTCTCCCGTTTGCGCGCATGCACCACACACCCAGGTCTTTGATGTCCTTGTGGTGACTCTACATCGTGAAGATGCTCGCGCAGTCCTGAACCTCCGGAACTGCATTCGCAGTGCCAAGAACGGCATCTAGCTGCAAAGCAAGGAGCCATCTTCCGGAACCGATCGTGGGCTCCTTTATTCTCAGGATGTGCTGGCCTGCAAGGGCAGCGTGCAGGGTAGGCCTTGGCATTGCCAGAACGCCGGTGCAGCAGTTTGTTTGTTTATGTTTATTCATTCATTTGACTTCTTGGCTGACCTGCCGCTTTCCTTCACCGTCATGGCCTCGCGGCTGCAGGGGCTGGTTTCCACAAGCCGAGCTTCCGACTCATCTGATCGCCTGATGCACGGGTCAATTAGTTCGCCGATGTATCCTCTGCTCATCGTTTACTGTTCTGCTGCACAGCATGGCCAAAAGGAGTCCCGTGTCTTGTTTGGCTATTAGGCCTCGTTGCGCATGTGTGTGGGGCTTCGTGCATGAACGCGAGGGTCGTCTTCGCTCCATGAGCATGATCATCAGTTGCAAGACCTTGCCTCGCCACAAGAGTGAGCCTGGTGTCAGCCTTGCTTGCTGACTGCTACAACAACAACTGCTGCTACTACTACTACTACTACTACTACTACTGCTACTGCTACTACTACTACTACTACTACTACTCCTACTGCTAGTAGTGCTTTCCAATGTCCTCAGAAAGTGCCGATAGAAGTAGCTGTTAAGCGCATGCCCAGGGGACCAGCCCGGAAGTCGGACGAGCCGAAGTTAGAGCCCGACGTGTGGATTCGGCGCGCTGATGTCTCAGTGCCCAAGCGTTTCCGACAACACCGGCATTTCGAATGGAAATCTCAATCTCAATCTCAAAGCATTCTATGGCTCCCGCAAGCACAGGCCCAGCTCTTGGGCGCTGTCCTGGGCCTTGTGCCTGACACTGGGCTGCGCGCTCTGCGTCCTTGCCGCACTCTGTGTTGTTCCGTTCAGGATCAAGCTGTCTGTTGCACTGTTTCGGCCTAGTGCTGTCGCCCTTTTGGTTTTTGATTTGAAGCCAGCTTTCAAACCAGGTCCAGTTTTTTTAGGGAGGCCTCCGTCCAAGCCGTTGAAGAACTCCCTGATGCCGAACGTGCACGCAACCAGGTTTGAAGCGCGCTTGACCGAGTGGGCCAGACGAAAGGCCAAGCCGAGTCGTAGCAAGATGACGTCACTGACTTGTGACGCACAGAATTAGTTCCGCAAGTTACTTGGGGGTCGGGCCCTGGATGAGCATTTACATGAAACTATACATTATCATGTGTGTTTGTTCATGTACCTCTGCAAGCTCCGGTTCTTGTGTATGTATATATTATGTATGTATGTATTATGTATGTATGTATGTATGTATGTATGTATGTATGTATGTATATATGTATGTATGTGGTAGTTGATCTAAAGCTCCTTGAGCCATGATTCTTAGGAACGGCCAACCGCATAGTGTCTTCGCGAAAGTTCCGCCATGGTTTCGCTAAAGTTGTTGTTTGTTTCGCGAAAGTTATCTGTTTAGCCTACTTGCCGTACTACTAACTATTTCTATTACTATCTACGCTTACTATTTCTATTACAATCACTATTACTATTGCTATTGGTATTACTGTTTACAATTGCTGTTATTGTTACTACTATTGCTATTATTCTATACTGTTGCTGTTACTTCTGCTGTTGTTAATACTAGTACTAGTACTGGTACCAGTACCAATGACTGGTATTGGTACGATGACTACTACTATTAGTATTACTGTTGCTAGTGCTTTCTCTATGTATTGCTGTTATTACTATTATTACTACTACCACCACCACTTCTCATGCTCTTGCTATTGCAGCTGCTACAGAAACCCTGAAGCCGGCAGGAAAGGCTCCCAGAAATTCTCAATTGATTCGGCCCCCAAAAGCTTTACAATCGAGAAGCTCTCAACTGCAAAAAGATTTTGTCAACTTAAGACGACCTTACCCATCCCTTTCACACCACCACTGTGGGTTTCGCGCAGACCTGAAACCCCTTGGGAAGCCTGCAGAGGCTCTTACTTCTAATTACCGTAACAACTTGTCATCGAGAAGCTTGTAGCTTATAACTCATGGTTCTAAGTTGCAAAGGTATGTAAATATGCGATGGTGGTGCGAAAGTTACTTTTTATTCGTGAAGAAGAACATTCCGGGATGGAAGGAGTTTAGATCAACAACCATGTATGTATGTATGTATGTAT